TAGCTGCCCCCAACCACAAAGATAATCTCACCAGATGACCTGATGCCGATTGTGATGACCAGTCATTGCTTCGGCACAACCAGCATTGCACGCCGTTCCACCTCAGCACCAATCACACATTAGATAGTTCTCATCACACTGTCCAACACCCACATTACACCACGTAGCCTTCCTGGCGATCCCCTCACCTCCTGGGTCGCCTATCACTCGTCTCCGCCCTCCTCACTACACACCACTTACGACCAAACTCGCCAAGCAGACCGCATGTATGTACCGCATTAGGCAGAAGACAAGCGCCAGATGAGCGCAATCGTACCACAACTCTGATACCAAATTGCAAGGAAGATGAGGAATAGCGAACTTCAACAATCAAACAACATCATACATATGAGTCCAGATAGTCGTGACCTCGAACCAACAGCAGAATTGCATCACGAGATTCACCAAATAAGAACACACCAAGAGTTCATAATTGACAATGATGAAATAGTCCCATCATCATCAACGAAGAACAAGAGTTGATATCCTATCTGGCGCTCGGCGCCCAGACTACAGATGGCAGATCCTATCTAGCCTATACTACAATGCCGAAGTTGACGATAACAGCTCTCCCGAAGTACGAGCATACAACGACCAATGTCGCACGCTTCCAGCACCAGGTATGTCTCTCGCCTTACTCACAACCTTGTTCCCCAACGCACAGATGCCACTTGCACCCAAGGACCACCCTGCGCCACACCCAGCTTACAACAGCGCAGCTCGGCTATGGCTGCCTGCTCCTTCCCTGCTCGCCCGTGAGCGCGTAGGTGCCAGCCAGCAAATAGCGCAGCAGCACTTGCGCAGCATGCAGCCAACACCCGAATGGCGAATGCGGAGGCAGGCCCTTTGCTATATAGAAGTGGCCTGCCTGCGTCCAGTCCCAGGAAGCTTCCAGTAGGCCCCGGTAGCCTAAGGCCCAGCACGAACGAGAACAGGCCTTGGGCCTGAGGTGGTTGCATGCGCCCAACTGCCTTTGGCCTGTGTTCGGCCCAGTACCCGTATCCAGCCCAGGGCCTGCTTTCCATAAATTCACACAGGCGGCCCAGGGCCTGGGTTCTCTCAACCAACTGGCGCTGCGCAACTGCCTGAATTTCCTTGAATTGTGTGGTGACCAAAACAGGGCCCTGAGGGCCTCGTCGAGCCTGCCTTCACTTAGGGCGGCCGACTTGCTTCAGAATGGGGCCATACGGGGCTCATCGAGGCATTGGCCTCGCACTCCTCCTGATTTTGCTTATAATAGTTATAGAACGCGGCCGCACACATCCATCCATGGGACTCGATCAAACTACTGGCTTTAAACTTGTGCAATCTGGCGGTCCCTCCACCTGGCAAAGTGTGTTTGACCACTTTTCGGTCCCAGTCAAACTGGGGTTGTGCCACAGAGAGGTAGTACATTCCTAACAACATATCCATGGTGAGTTCGTCACTCACTAGGAACGAGACGCGATGTCTCAATTCCCCTCCCACGTACGGGAAACAACACTCAACATCTTGGAGGTAGTCGTTGACTACCATGCGCTGTTTGTTGGCACAGGTCGACTCCACAGGTCGACTCAGGCGCTGCACTCGCCCCTATAAGTGCAGCCTCTCAACGCACGCGCGACTTATAAAGTTCCTAGTCGAGCAAGTGTCATAATAGGCCCCGGCCTTGCGGCCGCCAATAACCACCTGGCTGACGAACATCTCACCCTTTGGGGCTTTGACTAGGGCCGTCCAAGAAGCTAGCGGGTCTGATCTAGACCACTCCTCCTCTAGCTCCTCTAAGGACTCGAACACATTCATCGAACAGAGGCTCGATGGGTCTGAATGTGTTTGCGGGACGACGCTGGAGTCAGTAGCTTGGGCCATCTCTCGAGATGGTGAGGGTGTCTCCACCACCTCAACCCTAGCAGGAACAACTACTATTCCTACTGGCTTGACGTGTTTCCCGGAGCAGTGCCAGGACTACTAGCTACATTGCTACCAATGGGATGGGAGGTCCCAAAACCTGCCCAATTGTAGGCGGGATCTTATCGGTCACCTTCTTGTTGCGACACTTGAATTGGTTATGGCCATATTGGCCACAACGAATACAGGTCTGCCGTGAATACCGATCTCTCCACACGTCCTCAGTGAGACCCGCTTTCTCCCATGGAGGAGCATTGGGGTCAACTTGACTCCTAGACCGAGAACCTCCATGGCGTCTACCAGTCACCTTACCTTCCTGAGCTACGGCAGCGACTACTCCACCCTCTGAAGCTTCTACGCTGCCAGCCTCTGAACCTACTCCTTCCTGGAAGTTGCTGTTTAATTTGATGGTTGAACCATCATTATCGACGAACATAATGCGGCCCTTCGCCTTCCAGTTGGGAGGCAGTGTCTTCTTCCTACCGTCCGTTGTGGGGTTATGTCCATGCCCTATCTTCGCCTCAAGGTCTAGGGCCTTCTTGCTGAACAAGGGGAAGTTGTGAACATTGATCTTGGCCTCACCTGCCAACTGATTCCTGAGAGGCATGGGAAAACATCTCAGGTAGGAGGTGAGTAAAACCTGGGGGTCATAGCGCAGCCCAAGGACATGGATCAGACGCTCTACAGCGTCGGTGGCCTCCCTTATTGACTTAAACTGCCTCGTGTGCAGTGTCAAGATCGAATCAGTGGCCTTTTGGGCCTCCTGAGGATCATGTTACCTTTCTTCCACCATCTTGAGGAAGTCCTCCAGTTTCTGGTGGGCTGCCCAAGAGCGGAAGTCATGACCGTACCCCTGTAGTTGCACTAAACCGCTCAACCATCGTGCTACACTACCCTCTAGATAGGATGCAGCCACAAGCAATTCCTCATGCGGCAAGGTAAGCTTACACTTGACATAGACCGGCACTGCCCTCAACCACGTGTCGAGGTCTTCGCCTCTCTTATCCCGTGTGAAGGGTTTAGGAGCAATGATGGCCATCTTTGGTACCCATTGTGTTTGTCCCGGTCCCTGCATCACTCCGGGCTGTGGACCCTGTTACACAGGCTGCTGTGCTAGCTGTTGGGGTTGTGTACCCTGCGGCTGAACAGGTTGCGAGACAGCAGGCTACGTGGTAACCGCAACGTGCAACGAAGATTGGGTAAACACTGTTTGTACAGGAACCTGCAAACTAGATCCTGCTGATACCCCTCCTGATAGCGGCATGCCCAGGGAAACGATCACAACCGATGATGGGGCTACATATGGGGATACCCCAATCACCAGTGGGACAAAAGGAGGAGGCTGTACAACGGGCCAGGCACCAGGCCCGGACATTGGCGACGTTGCCTGCGCTCGCCCAACCAACAGGGCCAGACTTTGCTGGATGTCGTGAAGGATGGTTGTCTGATGGTTCTGCATTTCAACTACGTTTAGCAGGACAGACCGTATGATCCTCACATCATCCGTCACGTGCGTCAGGTCCATCTCCTCAAACTCACTAACGTCCGCTTGTCTTTGCTGCATCCTGGCTCTTCTTTTAATCATCCTTTCTTTCTCCGCTTTCATCTCTCCTAATGCCTTCTGTAGTTGTGCCTCCTGCAATGCTGCTTGTTGTATGGCGATCTCGTCGGAAGTCAACACTATAGGCTGGCTTGCCATTATGCCAGTGGACTGACTCTGGGTCTGCGCGACCGTTGACCCGACAGATCCTGAACTACCGGTCTGGGAACTCTGCTGCGCAGAAGTAGCCATGGCTGCTGAAGCTGCGGCTTCACTCACAAGTGCCTTGCTAGCCTGTGCTGCTTTAGCCCTCCTTTGCTGCTGCAACCTCTCTTTACGCTGGCGGAACAGATATCTGTCACCCTCTGGACCTAATGCCAAATCGGCTACTGGGCGCCTTGCCGATCGCAAGATCTGGTTGTCCTCTCTAGTGTCCTCCTTGTCACTCGTAAGCTACAACACTGTGCACAATCTGCACTAATGCACTCTGGATGCCTACCGCAGTGTAGTGCACAAACCAATAATTGGTGGCTATTACGGAGTAGATACACTTGGGGTCAACAGGTAAGTCAGATTCCTACAAACGAAACTATTTATAGCCTGATTAGTCCGTGAACAGAATGCACAATGAACAGATACAGTTCTAATTATGTTGTCTATTAGATGTCAAATGGTTGTACACCTAACTAATCAAAACATAAAAATAGAATCATTTGTGTGGATAGGACAGTATGGAATTCTTCTCGAACTTATCACCTGAAATCTACCCCTCCCTTAGTTCCCCTGAATGTCACTTGACGTCAACGTCCCTCAGCAATCCGGAGAGCGTTGCGTGTCTAAAAGGTGTGTGTTCGGCCCACCCCTGTGCCCCGAGTATCTGCTGAGCTGGCCAGCCCTGCACTGGATTTTCCTCGCGTGCAGCTAGCCTTACAACCATTGGCTGATCCAGAGGCAATTTAACATCCGCCCCCAAGTGACTCCAGGAATTATTTTACGTCACAGTAGGACAACGATCACAGCCAATGGTTTCCCCTACCGGTGTTTATTTAAAGACGCTCGGTTCTCGTCTCCCACTTAGGGATGGCCTGCCCTTCAGCACCCATCTAACAGCGCAGCAAGCCAAACAAAGGACAAGCAGCAAAGCATGCGTGCTCTTCTCCCGGTGGGTTGGCATGGTGACCGTGACCCAGTGCTTCGTCCAGTGCCCTTCAGAAAGCTCCGCCCATCTTCTCCCAGATGTTCCACGTGAACATTGCCGACTCTCAAGGTTGAGCGCACTCGACACCTCACAATGAGAGGACTCTCAAGAGGAACACACAACCTCACGGTAAGAAGTGTCGAAGAGGGTAGATAAGGTTAAGAGCAACGTACCTCAAATAGCTGCCCCCAACCACAGAGATAATCTCACCAGATGACCTGATGGCGATTGCGATGACCAGTCATTGCTTCGGCATAACCAGCATTGCACGCCGTTCCACCTCAGCACCAATTGCACATTAGATAGTTCTCATCACACTATCTAGACCACATTACACCTCGTAGCCTTCCTGGCGATCCCCTCACCTCCTGGGTCGCCACTCACTCGTCTCCGCCCTTCTCACTACACACCACTTACGGCCAAACTCGCCAAGCAGACCGCATGTATGTACCGCATAAGGCAGAAGATAAGCGTCAGATGAGCGCAATCGTACCACAGCTCCGATACCAATTTGCAAGGAATATGAGCAATAGCGAACTTCAGCAATCAAACAGCATCATATACACAAGACCAGATAGTCGTGACCTCGAACCAACAGCAGAATTTCATCACGAGTTTCACCAAATAAGAAGACACCAAGAGCTCATAATTGACAATGCTGGTAAAGTCTCATCATCATCATCAATGAAGAACCAATGTCGATATCCTATCTGGCGCTCGGCGCCCAGACTACAGATGGCAGATCCTATCTAGCCTATACTACAATGCCGAATGATGACGACAACAGCTTTCCCGAAGTACGAGCATACAACGACCAATGTCGCAAGCCTGCAGCACCAGGTATGTCTCTCGCCTCACTCACAACCTTGTTCCCCAACACACAGATGCCACTAGCACCCAAGGACCACCCTGTGCCACACCCAGCTTACAGCAGCGCAGCTCGGCTATGGGTGCCTGCTCCTTCCTGCTCGCCCGTGAGCACGTGAGTGCCAGCGAGCTTCAGCGCAGCAGCGCTTGCGCAGCATGCAGCCAGCACCCGAATCCCGAATGTGGAGGCAGGCCCTTTGCTATATCGAAGTGGCCTGCCTGCGTCCAGTCCCAGGAAGCTTCCAGTAGGCCCCGGTCGCCTGAGGCCCAGCTCGATTGACAACAGGCCTTGGGCCTGAGGTGGTTGCATGCACCCAACTGCCTTTGGCATGTGTTTGGCCCAGTACCCGTATCCAGCCCAGGGCCTGCTTTCCATACATTCACACAGGCGGCCCAGGGCCTGAGTTCTCTCAACCAACTGACGCTGCGCAACTGCCTGAATTCCCTTAGTTGCGCAGTGGCCAAAATGGGGCCCTGAGGGCCTCGTCGAGCCTGCCTTCACTTAGGGCGGCCGACTGGCTCCAAGATGGGGGCTGAATGGGGCTCATAGAGGCAGTGACCTCGCTGTAAACTGTTTGAAGTCTGAAGTGAACGCATGTGTTCCTTTTTGTCCAAGCATTCTTTTGCATGTTTTTCTCTTTCCTGTTCCTTTTTTTCAATGTATTCTTTTCCTTTTTTTATTTTTTCCCCTCTGAAAAAAGTGCAAGGAAAATGAGCAAGAGCGAAATTAGTAAATTACAGAATTCCAAATTGACACATCACATAGTTGGGAGCTGTCCAGAAAGCAGAAAACCAATGTCACACCAAAGGAGACCAAAGCAACGAACTCAATTGTCAATTCAGCCCTTATCTTGCCACCATCGACAACGCGTTCAATGTCTCATCTCCTAATTGGCGCTGAGCAGCCAGACTACGATTACACAACTCCGATATTGGCCAATATCACACAACTGTGGTATAGGCCTATACTGTTGACGACGCAACCGGATACATGCACAGATATGTGATGTTCGTAATAACCGAGGAACTGCAGTGTGATAAAAAGGACTGAAATGGACAATGCGGTGAGAGTAGAATCTCGACAGACAATGTGCATTCTCATATATACAAAAGTGCTGAATAGCGCAGGGAAGACTTAGATACAAAGACTGACCTGACAAGGACTGACCTCACACACGTAATACAAGTAGCGAAGCAGAATGCTAGAATACCAATCACGAGCCCAATCAATGTTTGAACTCAGACTAAACATGCATCGTATCCCTTACCAGGTGTGAAGGAGCCTGGCGCTGCACACAGGGGGAAAGCGCCAGGTCCAGACATACACAGACGAAGAGGTAAGGACCAGACGAAAGGAGGGGGGGAGATATGGGAGTGTCGTTAACACCAAGTCTTGGTCACCAATCCCAAATAACCCCTCGTTGCCATGTCTGAAGTCCCCAAAAGTCGAGTCTGGATCCGATATCACCAACCCCGGTATCT